TTAGAGAAAGAGCAGTAAAAGACCTGGGTTACTATTTAGCTTATGTTTGTAGAGTCATTGAGGACAAAGAGTAGCATTTTTAAACTCCTGGTGCCAAAAGTCAGAACTTTTGAGGCAGCCTTTTGCATTTTGATCTACTTGATCTCGGCAAAATCAGTAATTTAGCAGAACAGAACTGTTAATCACAATGAGCATTTTTTAGATTTTAGTGTAGATGTTCACAAACAGAGAACACTGAGGTACAATCTTAAGGTTACTCGTCCTTTTACAGGTAATTTAAGTTTTATTTATGAAAACACTGTGTCCAAGTGTTTGATTATGTTTTCTGAAGGAAGTTTTGAAAGCTGGGTAACAATGCACCTTCTGAACGGACTTTCAAAATTAAATTGTCCTTTTAGGAGAAGGATGGCACCAGAGTTCAACTTTGTATCTCCAAGTGAAATCTTCTCTACTTTGCGTGTTCCAAAAGGGATGAGTATTGCAAACTATGCCTCGATTTTGCTACTAGGAAAACCTGTTCTGCAAACCAAGTGCATGTGAGACTTGTACATGAACTCAGTGTTCATGTGTTCCAGTGCTTAATGAGGGCCTTTGTGTTTCACTCTGCCATTTACTTTGCTCATGACTGGGGGCTATTTTTAGTTTCTCTTAAAGAGAAAAAGTGTTGCTTGACAGTTTGTGCACTGTTACGAGCCTTTGCTTTTCCATCTGATGGATGTTTCCTGGAGTGTTATACAACAGGTTGTTTGTCCCACCTGAATGTGTTGTTACTTACTTTGCTGATAGGAAACACGTCTAAAAGCATTTTCACTGTTTCAGGCACTTGGCTTCTTGTGGTATTCTGATGACCAGAACTTCTCCTTTGCAAGTACCTGTAAGGAGCCAGACTTTGTCAAGGAATTTCTTCAACGTTGCTGCACCACTAATAAATAAAAGAAAAGAATATTCTGAAAGAAGAATTATAGGGTTTGTATAAAACTGTGGAAAGAGACTTTAAATGCTTATTGCTTTTATATTTGCTGTAATTAATCTGAAACACTAGAAGCTCAAAAGAAGTTAAAAAAACCCCCATCCCTACGGACAAATGCCCCTATGACTCTGCCCAATTGGAATGTGAAAAGGAGTTCTGATTTTCAGAATTTGTAAAGATCAGGATTTACCAGTCTGAAACTGAGTATAAAAAAAGTAGGAACCCCAAACCTACAGAAAGAAAGAGCAAAAATATCTGTTCTCTTTCATGACAAAACAAAACCAGAAGGAAAATAATTAGTTGTGTGATGAAGAAACTAAGATGCATAGAAAAGGATTATGAAATCCAATTTGCCTTCGAGCTAGTGGGAAAATTCCAGTTCATTTAATGATACTGGGATCTGCCCCCAGTCTCTGGTCCACAATAGCATGAATTACTTTTTTATTAGCATAATTTTTTGACTGTACTTAACATTCCTTTACGTGACAGTTCCTGAACTGCAACATATCTGCATAGTCACTAAGAAAGGGCCTTCATCCAAGAGTACTCACTGCTGAGTACTGTTGAACATATGTTTCATTTTAAAGAATTGAAGCCCATGTTTAATCCCATCTGTTTCTGAGTCAGAACTAAAAATTAAAACCCACAGTCAGTAATACTCTGCCACGTTACAGTAGAATCCACTAAAATGTTGCTATTATGTGTTTAATCTGATCTCTATATCCTGCCTGAGCAGGGGGAGGGTGGATGAAGTCCAGAGCTCCCTTCCAACTTCAGCCATTCTGTGATGCTGGAAGGTTTTTCCATTGCATTTCTTTTTTAATTAAGTTTTTAATTTGGGTTGATGTGAGGAAGGTAGCTTTGCTCTGTTTAAACCTTATTAAATATAGTACTTGAGTTATGATACACCTTGTCTTGGGAGCCATGAAGTGTGGATTTTTTTAATGTGGAATATCTGAGATCTGCCTCAATGAAGACACAGCTATGCTGAAAAAAAAAATGTTTCATTTAAAATATATGCATATTTACATGATACTTAAGAGAGGGAGTAGCAGTCACTGTTCACTAACTTTACTGCTGGATGGTGTGCGGTACTTTGCTTCTTTACATAAAGACTATCACCACTTTACTGCTTTTTTTCCCTCTTAATTAGCAAAGCTGCATTTTAATCTCCAGAACCAGTGGTAGTTTTCAGGTGACTGTATGTTCACCTCCCAACTGCCCACACCATTTATACCACCTTTGACACTTTACCACTGAATCAAAGTTAAAATACCTTGTAACTGTAACGCTCCTATTTCTGTTCCCAGGTACTCAATGCAGGAAATGTACGAAGTTGTTGCTGTTGTGGAGAATTACAAACTGTTTGTTCCTTGGTGTAAAAAGTCCGACATACTCTCCAAGCGCTCTGGATACTGCAAAGCACAGCTGGAAATAGGATTCCCTCCTGTAGTAGAGAGGTACACATCAGTTGTTACCCTGGTGAGACCACATTTAGTTAAGGTAACTGTGTTTTTTGTTTGGTTGGTTGGTTTTTTTCCCTCTCCTAATTTTCCTTAACATTTGTTGTTGAAATCTGAATATTCCAGGAACATCTTGCTTTGAAACAAAACCGATGCTGGAAGTTCTTTCTGTGGCTCAGAACTTGTGTTGCTTTTCTTTAAGGGATTTTGGATAAACTGGGGGAAAATTTGCATGTGCTTTTAAAACACATCCCACCACATGGGGGAGAAGGAGGAATCGCTTTTTAACTTGCCTTTGCTGGAGAAGGTGGCAGCCATTAATGAAGATATAACCCTTTTGCTTTGGTTTTTTGTTTTAATTTTGTCCAAGACTCTCTAAATACAAAGTCAGTTCTCACTTTAAAGTTATCTTTGACATAAAAGTTATCTTTAACAATATTAGCTTCTGATGCCTCAGCAAAGTTGCTACTTGTCATTACTTTTCTTCCCACAATTTTAACTAGTTAATATGAAAGGCCTTAAACTAAGTGTAGGATCTGCTGAAGAGATTGTTATTCAATATATTGATGAGAAAATGCAAGAGTGGATTTAAATTCAATTTTTTACAATTATTTTGTTCAGAAGAGAAACAGTTGTAGTTCTCCTTTCAGCTTTTCAGTAATTAAGAGAAAGGTAGAAAAGTGTCAAGGCAGAAATTTTAAATGATGCCTGGATCTTCTAAGTATCTGCTTACCTTGTATTTTTAAACCTGTTTTGGTAAGAATGGCTCAGAACAGATTCCTTACAGCAAAACTGCCTCTCCCTTTGTGTGGCAGATCCTGACTGTTTGTTTTGGAGTAATTAGTGGAAATTACAACAATTGGTTGCTGCTCAAGATAATTGTTTGAATACTCTATTTCCAGGCTTCCTAATAAGAGACACTTAACAGAAAATTAGTTTCTGAAGCACAGAGAAGATGTAAATTGGAAAAGGAATATGCAAAGTGCTTTTATGTAATGCACTCACTGGCCTTTTCTCTGCTGCAATTTCTGTTCCTGGAGATTTACGTTATGTTCCTATGACTGTAGGACATTTCTAGAGAAGCCACTGTGTGCTTGCATTACTTCACTCTCCTCTGAAGCAACTCTGGGCAAAGGTACCTTGCAGGTGGTGACAAAATGGGGATGGGGGGGTTTTTTTGTTGCTTAAGGTAGCAGCACTTGAATAATTGACAAATCAGACTGGTAACAGCAGTCTTTGCTGAGGAAGAAAGCATGGAGTGAGTTTGCTGATCATAAGATTGGGAGCAAGGGGGACACAGTGGCAGTTTTCCCATTTTTCCTGCCGTTTTGGCAGCAGTAGGGAAGCAAGCCCAGCCCTTTGTGTCTAATCTTCCCTGTACTCCCTTCTTTCTGTTGTAGAAGTGGCAAGGCCCTGCATCATCTCATTCCTGGAAAGAAAAATGTAGTTATTTTTGTGCTGCTGATTAGTCTTTGAGATGACTCACCTTACCACAGCTTTCCAACCCAAGTAACACCTATTCCTCGTGGGTTGTGTTGTTGGAGCTGAGCTGCTTGTGGTAACAGTAAGACCCTGTAAAAAAAGGGAAAAAAAAAATTAAAAAAATTAGAGAAATTTTCTCTCCAAATTCTAACCCAGTTGAGGTTATATATTTGGATGATTTTGAAGAATAGGTCTTTTAATCTTTTTCTTTTATAAGTATAGCCACACAGAATCAGCTCTATGTGCCAAAAGCAAAATGAGTGAAAATAAAGACCCTTTTGCCATGAAAGTTATGCAGCCAACCACTGACAATACTTTACTGCTTTAAAGGACTGTATGCAAGCCCTCCTAAAGCACTGGCCAAACAGGGCTTGCCTGGGACCAAAAGGGAGTGTATAAGCTGACCATGAACTTGAGTGTACGATCTACTGACTTCGTGGCAGCTCTTGGTCACAACAGGATCTTGTGACAGAGGATCTTGGAGTTTGTCTTCAAACACATTTGTCTTGGGGCTAAGCATTCCTATGGGCCAAAGCTACCAGTCCATATACCAGTATCTAAAACATTCTATACATGTAACAAAGTATATCTACCTGAACCCCCAGTAAATATCCGTATCCTTTGCTTAAAGCAGCGTTGTTCAAAATCCTGGCAGGTAACCAGCAGGATGTTCCATGCACCGTGCCACAGATCTGTTTCACGATGCTCAACACACAAATTTCCCCCCTCCCTTAAAAGGGATTCAGTTATTTTGCCATCAATGACACATAAGGCACCTCCTGCTGGCTGTGCTGTGAGAACAGTTTCAACTTGGCCGTGACCGTCACTGCCAAAGAAATGCAAATGCAAACTTCAGGAATACCGGTTTGTCACACTTGTAAAAGCCTAATTGCAGCCTGACTTTTTAAACTCTATTTTAGGCATCGTGCACAGATGGAAAACTATTTAATCACTTGGAAACGGTGTGGCGTTTGAGCCCAGGTATCCCTGGATATCCAAGGACATGTACATTGGATTTTTCAGTAAGTATCGTAATTAAGGAGCAGTGCCTTAATTGGAAACGCTGACTTAACTGTGTGGGGCACCTCTCACCATACGGTTCTAAACACGCTGAAGTTTTTAGACAGTCAAATAGAGAGGGAGAAATGCTAAACATACCTTGCTGTTTCCTTTAATTACTCTACAGCCTAAGTTGGGAGAGCACTTATTTTCTGGTACCATCTGTCCTGCTGGGCCTGCAGTTTGGTCAGTTTGATTTCCTGGCTTTCAGTTTTACTCTGTCGTGTGTTTTAAGTCTTACTTCTTCCTTCTGGCATAACAGATTTTTCCTGTCTAATCTTTCTAATCTGTGACGGGATGTCACTGCAGCCCAAACTATTGCTCTTTAAATCTATTGTCTGATTTAGCCTGATTTTACTCCCAGACCAGTAGTTTTCCACTCGAGTTATTGCTTTTCAGTGTTGTCTGTTTAGTCTGTCATCACGTTTTTCTCTAGCATTTTACAGCATGAAGTATAGGAATTGCATTGAGCACATAAGTAAGCTGGGGATCACAACAGGCTGCAAACTGCACAGAGATGGGTTAATCTTGCTGCCATCTACTGGAATACTCTACTTGGAAAATTAATAGGAAAAAGCTTTTGGGTTATTTGAAACTAGCACATTAACCTCCTTGGGTTAAAAACTTTCAGCTTATTGCTGTATTTCACTTCTTAAGGTTCAAGAATAAAAATTAATCTTGTGGCACTCAGAAAAATAAATTTCTCATAGAATTTGTTCATGATGTTTGCACATTATTTGCTCACACTATTTTAATTTCTCCAGGGAAATAAGTGCCAGTTCCTGCTACTAACCAGTACATAAGCGAGCTTTTAACCCAAGCCCTAAATCCCAAGCCATAAAAACCCAAGTTGAGAAAACTTGAATCACTAAACCTATTATCTAAATACAGAGTCTGTGAGGAAACACACAAAACCTCCCACACCAAAGCCACATTTTTGATATTTCGAGTGACCTAAAGGGAGTCAAAACTGCCCTTGATATGGACATTTCCCTGTCTTGGGGGAACACTACGGACACTTCTTGCTGCTCACCCCTTTTAGAGGCGGCAGCAGCAGCTGCTGAGCCAGGGCTGCCTCCCTAAGGCCTTAACCCTTCTCATTCCTGCCCTGCTGGTCCTGCCTCTGGGCACACACAGACAGGGATTTCACAACAAACTCCTCAGAACATGCCGTGCAATTACAGATATTCCAGAGAAACCTTTGATGTCAAGAACACTGCTTTGCTTTAGAAAATGCTACTTGAGGTTCGGGTTAAGGTGGTTCCCAGAAGCTGCTGTATCCTGTTTTGCCAGCCTGATTCCAGAAGACAGACATACACAGCAGGGAACTTTCCCAGTTTGGTTTCAGCTCTGAAACGATTTGGTACATAAACTGAAACACACCACCTCTCTTACCATCTGCAAACTTCTTAAGTGTACGTATGTAAATGTACCACACCTCAAGATTTACGTAATTCCCAAGCACGATGCCAGATTCATTATCCCTGCTCTGCAGAACTCTGCATGCCCTGCCTTACAAAATGCACATTAATTTTACTGTTGCCTGAGGTCAAGCAAATGTAAATGGAGCTACACTTGGCTTTTGGGCCAAGTCGTTTAGTTACTTCTGTGCTGCTGCTTTGTGGTTAATGTGCATTGCTCCTAAGGAATTTGGGAAAAGCTGTATTCGCTCCATTTGGCATTGAATCTGCTGATTTCTCAGGAATGACACAAATCTCAATCCATTCCACTGACTGCCCATGTCAGGTTGGGAGTGGGAGCTGTTCAGGTGGGAGATACTCAACAAACCAAATCTGTAGTTTTAGACAGTAAACTGCTTGTTTGAACATACCAGAACTACTGCCATGGAGAAGGACTAATTTAAAATATTGGTATTTAATAAGTAACTATTTCAAGCTGCTTTAAAGTCTCTTGGGTGTGCTCCAGCTTACCTGCAAGTGTACCTTCTTGCCATGCAGGGTTTTCTTCAGACAACTTCAGTCCAAGTGAATTCTGTGCACAAAGTAACAGTTACTGTTTGTCAGTAGTTTCTCACTATCCCAAATCTATTCAGTGATGCGTTATTTATTAAAGACAGTTTAGGTAAATTATTACTTCAGAGAGCTGAATGAAAGGTTTCTTCTAATTGAAAAGCCCAGGGGAACAGTCCTGAGACCAAGGAACACAGTTTTTCTTCACAGACACACTCACCTTTACCTCAGTTTTAACTCTTCTTTCTCCCACAACTTACTTGTAAACTTCACTGGAGATTCTTTAGTAGAGTTGTCTATTTGTAACAGCATTTTACCACAACAGTAGACAACAAGAAAAATAATTCTTCTCTATTGTCTTTAACAGGTTTCTTTTGAATTTCGTTCACTTCTACACTCAAAACTTGCTACACTGTTTTTTGACGAAGTGGTAAAGCAGATGGTTGCTGCCTTTGAAAGAAGAGCATCCAAACTCCACGGCCCAGAAACCAGCATACCTCGGGAGCTGATGCTCCATGAAGTTCATCAGACGTAAAGGGACAAGTGCAACCACCTCAGTTCCAACCTTGTTTGTACACCTCATTTGTACAAAGTGCCGCGCTCCTCCTTCGGGGCATCTGTTTCTTATCTGAGCTGTGTGTTAAAGATTTTGTACTGCACCAAACACACCTGCTCAGCCAGATGTGTGTAGAAAGTTCAAAAGCTGCCATCAAGTGCAACTTGAAGCCTTATCAGTAACAGGCAACTGGCAGTTACTGTAACCCCAGATATCCCAGGCTGCCCTTAACGTGCCAGGCGGCTCCTGTGATTACGGTCCAACATCTGCCTTATCCAAGCTCATGATTTATTTTTTTTTTTAGCACTGTAACGTATTAACTCAAGTTGAAGTTATAAGTCGTGTGAATGTAATTTAACAGCAACAGCTCAGCCAGCTCTGGCCAAGCCAAGGGGAACTGCCATTCTGGCTTCACAGAGAACGGAACACTTGGCCAAGCACCGAGTAGCGGGTGCTTTTAATCCAAATGCACGGCAAAGGTGAGTCAGGAGCCTCCAGCTGCTCCTGAACTGACCTGCAACTGCTAAAGAACACCCTCAGCTGTCAGAAACTAAAGGCAGGGGATACACATAAGGAGTACTGTAATCTGAGTGCAGCAGTCTCAGCTGCAGCCAGGATATCCCATCCGGGCTCCACACACCGATCACTGTGTCGTACGTTTGGCAGGCTGAGCTTGCCCCCCTCCACTCCCTCACCCTTAAAGCTGCCCTTCAGTTAGTTACTCATCTACTGCAAACAGTTCCCACACTGTGAAACAAGGAAGTGTTACCTCTCTGAGAGTGAGGGACCAAGAACTGTCCTCCCTGGAAGAAGGGAACAAGATGTCCTCCACTCCCTGCAGCCAAGCACACCCACGGGCAGCTGTCATTAAAAAGCATACAAGAGCACTAAAAACCCCTTAGTTCTTGGGGCTTTTTCATGACCATATTACCATTTATTATCAGCCCGTTAAAATAGCACCCGCTGTCTCGATTAAATCCACATTCAGTACTTCTGTCCCTGAGACAAATATTCTTTCCAGTCTCTGAAAAAACACAGGTGAATAGGTTTGAACAGATTTTAAATCCTCAGTGTGCTGCCCTGCATTACCCAATCTCCTTACTGAAATCAGGTGAAGTTCCGGGTCAGGTGCTGAAGCAGGTCCTTTCTGCCAAGGGTCTGTAACCCATAGGGTAACTAGAGAACAGCACATTACATAACATAGGAAGGTTTGTTTCAGAATAAAGACAGCCCTCAAACAGTTTCAGATCATTTACTTTTCCAGAAAGAGCAATTGGCATGTCACATGTCCCCTCTGTGAAGGACAGTTCATTAAGAGCAGGACACTGAGGAAAGTGACAGCTGGACTGAGGTCAGTTTAACAGCACTGAGAAATTGTACAGCAATTTCATTTGTTGAGGCAATCACAGATAAACATACGGAAGTTTGGGAACACCATTGTTCTGCAGTTCGGAAAGCAGATGACTTAACACGTCACTGACATCAACTCTGTCAGGTCAAAGAACCCAGTAAGTGGCAAAGCAACATTTCTACAGGTAAAACAGCATTTAGTGCAAAACAACTAAATTCTGCAACCCATTACCAGGAAGGAAGACAAGAGTGGAAGGCTCAAGGTGAGGAGGTAACCACATACTACACCTGGGCAGAGGAACCATTCAAAAACCCCCAAACCCTTTCTTAGGCAAGACTTACCTGTTTGATACCCTCAGGGACCTTCCCACGAACTGCCAAAGGTGCACTGGGCCTGTTCAAGCACATGAAACAACCAGCATAGACAGGGCAAAATAAAGCCAGTGCACGTGCCTTGTTTTCAGAGCATTGTTTAATATTTCAAAGAACTGTAGTGCAGTTCAGCTTAGGTATTTCTTACCAAAATTAAAGTCACTTGCATTTCTGAGAAACATTCTCGACAAAGGAATGTTTCTCAGCGTGAAATGCCCTGTCATTTTTTCAAGCATAAGTGTCTATTTCTAGTAAATCTCAGAGGCAGGCTGTCCAGGCTCTCCCATGACTATGGCAGATGAAGAAGGTGATACATTTTGTAACTTTTGAGCAGTTTATTACATAAAGGTCACATAACTCTATTTGCCTACTTTGTACACAATTGTCTAGTCTCACGCACAGTGGCTTCCAAGTTCTTCCTAGTACTGGCAAGCACCAAGAAATTCTGTAATAGAATATCAAGTGCCTTAATTAAGTTCAAATCAGGACCTTGGTAGATGGATCTTGCACCCAGTTATCAGGAATGTACAAATGTCTTTATTCAAAAAATACAAAATAAATTATCTGTAGGCATGGACAATGACTGTAAACAATTACACGTGTGTTAAATGAAATCCAGTAACTGATGGTTACAGTGATTTTTCAACACCAGCCTCACTTCAGTCACTATCCACCCTCTGACACTGATAGCTCAAGTTTTTAAAGTCAGAACTGTCAGTCTTCAACAGCACAGCTCATGATGCATCCCTACCCCAGCAATTAGAACATGCCACCTCCCATTCCTCCGCCCATGCCACCCATTCCTCCCATTGCCGGCTCCTTCTCTTCTTTGGGAATCTCAGTCACCACCGCTTCTGCTGTTGATAGGAGAGACGCGACCCCGGCAGCGTCCATCAGAGCAGTTCTCACAACCTAAACCCAGGGAAGAAATAACTTAATGCCTGCTGGCTGTCACAGGAGGGGGGAGGAAGAGAAGCTGATAACTGAGACTTTTAGGTTACCTTTGTTGGGTCTATGATTCCTTTTTCTACCATATTTACAAAGTCCCCAAGCATTGCATCGTAGCCAACTTCTGACGGGCTCCGCAGGATTTTCTCAACTATCAATGACCCTTCGACACCGGCATTCTTTGCAATAGTCATTGCTGGGATTTTCAGGGTTCTCTTGATTATTTCAATGCCTGCAAGAAAAAGGGTGGTTAGAGCTCTGTGTTGCACACGCTGCTCCCACTGCCAAGGCACGCCTGCACGTGCTGCTGGAGAGCAACACAGAGAACCCTCAGAGTGAAAATCTCATCTATTTGCATCAGTTCCAGGAGAGAGAGGTTTTCTGCTACTTGACATTTGTCAACACATGAAATCTTTGCAGGATATTACACACATTTTAGTTTTACTACATTTTGTAGAAGTCAGGAGTACTCTTAATGTGTAACACGGCACAAAGCCTTTTTCCATTTGATTTGCCACACAATCTCTTAAGCGTTATTAGATTTTTCATCTGTCTGCAACGGCTGGGAACAATCAGCTCTCAACTCTAACCATTTCCCACTCTCTGCAGGGGGCTCTGCTGCTTTACTGTCACTGGGTCTTTCACAGTCAAGTCAGGGATGTAGCGAAACCTCCTTCCCCCTATAAAGCAGAGACCACCACACCAAGGGGGTGTGAGGTTCCACCTGCATTTCACCTGAGAAAGCCTCAAGCCAGGAGCAAGGCCACTCGCAACACTTCCACACACATTCCAATAACTTCCTCACCAATTTTCTGATCTTCATTGGCTGGAGTTAAGGCATCTAGCGCTGGAATGCAGCGGAGCAGAGCACAGCCACCTCCCGGGACGATGCCCTCCTCCACGGCAGCGCGGGTGGCGTTCAGGGCGTCAGTGACTCTGTCCTTCTTCTCGTTCACTTCGACGTCGCTCGTGCCACCGACCTACAAACAGCAAGGCACCACATCAAGGTCCACACCGAGAGCCCGGGAGGGAGAAAACTGCTGGCTAAACACTGCTGCCCCCAAATTAAACAGCCAAGAGCACTGACCAGTGCCAGAAAGCCAACCCAGCCTCTCCCATGCTGGCAATCTTCTACACCTCAGCACTCAACAAGCCCAAACACAGCTTTAGTTCATTATCTCTTAGTACCTTCAATACTGCTACTCCATCAGAGAGTTTGGCCAACCGCTCATTGAGCTTCTCTTTCTCATATTCACTGGTGGTGACCTCAAGCTGCTCGATTATTTCTTGAATGCGCTTTTCAATCTGAGCCTTTTCCCCCTTCCCCTTTAGAAGCATGGTGTCATCTTTGGTCACAATGACCTCTCCCACTTTACCGAAGTCATGAGGTTGAATATCTTCCACATTTAGGTTCAAACCCTCTTCTCCAAACACCTGAAAGAAATCACGTGAAAAGCTGGAATTCACAGGTCCCCCAAACATCAGCTTTTTATCTATAGGCACACAAACACATATAGCTAACGGTGCAAAATAATCACGCTACTGCAGCTGAACAACACTCTTCCCTTCTCCTAAGAGAGTCCAGGCACGCAGGTACCTCACAAACTGACTCTCATGGAATGGAAAACTGGCAGCTTCTCACTCATGCCTGACTTGTGTAGCTCACTGATTCAAAGTGCCTGGGAAGGAAAGCAGTGTCCTCATAGAATATCCTGAGTTGGAAGGGGCCCACAAGGATCATCCAAGTTCAACTCCTGGCCTCTAATAGGACAAACCCAAGACTCACATCCAACCTCTTCCTCACATCCAACCCAAACCTCCCCCGACACAGTTTCATGGCATTTCCTCAGGCCCTGTCACCAGTCATCTCCGTGTATTTTGAGAAGCTAAAAATATTGGCACTTGAGAGACTTTAAAACAGTTTGCTGGTTGGTTACTTTGTGCTGCAGTAAGCTTAAACATCAAGTTTTATTTCAAAGCCTCCTTTAGGTCCCCTTTGGTATCATGCCATGATTTCGAAGTGTGCGTAACAAAAAGGCACACAAAGGGACATTAATCAGTGCATCAAGCATGTGCAAAGTTTAGTGCTAAGAAAATCATTCAGTCAATTCTACACATTTTAAACCATTATATTTCCCACACTTGAGTTCAAGCAACTGTGAGACAATCAGTTTTATAAGGCAGCAAGAAAGCTTTGCTATATTTCTAAGATTGTTTTGGAGTTCCTCCTTCCCCTTCACAGCCTAAATCCTGCAAAGAAATCACGTGTGACAGTCAGTTAGAAGGATGTACCACTCCTGGCGGGCCAGGGCTGTATTACACAGCAATTTTCAGTGCTTACAACTTAAAAAAACAGGAAGGTTCTAATAATAGAGTTACTGTTACATTTTGAAAGACAGAACACAACCTGCAGCCTAGAAAATAAAAGCCAAAGACCTAAAAACACATATTAATTTTTCTCTTTTAATATAATTCACATTTCTTAGAGCAAAAATATACTTAAAACATCATTACTTACAGCACCACCAGTAGC